CTTCAAAGCTGTTTGCAGATCCACGCCACGCCGTCCAGGGTTGCCAGAAGGCGAGGGAATTGCTGGTGGTGGGCTGGGGGCGGGTTCGTGTTGGGTGGTGTTGATGTTGTCTGTCCCGGGTTTGGTTCGCCGGGTCGGGGGGTATTTGTTGCACTGGAGGTTGTATCGGTGGAACCGGCGCTGGAAGAATTGCTCGAAAAGCTGCTGGAGGGTTCCTGGTCGGCGGGCGGCGGGTGTGCTGTGGCCGAAAAAACGGTTGCTGCCGCTGGCCTGGTGGGGTTTGGTGCTGGTTGGGTCTGGTGGTTGGCTGTGGCTAGCGGTGGGGGCGGCGTTGCAGTCGTTGTTCCGATGTGTGAGTGCCCCCCATTGCTGAGCCAGGGTGGCAGCTGTCGATGCTAACGTTTCTCCCAAAAAGGTGGCAGTGGCTGGAATGTAGCCGCTGGGTTGCTGGAACCAAGTCACGGCCCATGGCAGATGCACTAAAGTGCCGGGGGGTTGGCAAGCCCCTGCCTCGTGGAGCCTGTGCAGCAATGCTGCTTCGCTTTGTGTCAAAGCCTGCCCGGTGTGTGAAGCTAGCTGTTGCAGCGTGGCCAACACGTGGTGCAGTTGTTGCCAAGGGACGGGGCGTGCTTGCCGAAGGTGCTCTACCAATCGTCGCCATGGATTGCCAGCTGTGGCGGTTTGTTGCCATGCTTCGAACGCTGGCGGCTCGAGGCGGTTGGTGGCCGCGAGCAACAGTTGCACGTCGAACCAGCTGAAGGTGTCCGCGTCGGGCCCAGGGCTGGTTGTGTGGGCCACTCGCCCCCGGAGGGGTCGGGTTGGCGCTGGCTGCGAGGGTGTGTAGTGGCTCTGCTGGGCATACGGCATGGGGGTGGCTGCAAGTACACGCCCTGGTGCTGCGTTGGATGTCCACCTGCAAGATGCGTGGGCCGCGTTGTGTGCAGCTTGGCTGCTCTGGAATGTTTTGTAAGAGCGGGTGGTCAAGCCGGAGGACAGTGTTACACCGTAGGCACACCCATTCTAGGTCCCAGCGGCCCGTTTGCGGAACGTGGACGGGGGCCCAGGCCATGTTGGTGTCTGTGAGTTCTTGCCAGGCCCGGGGTTCCTCAGGCCGCATTGGGTCTGCCAGAAAGAGTCGTGGGCAACAGTGAGGCGAAATGATGCGAAATGTGTGTTGGTGGTTGTGGTGGTTGCAAGGCTGCGTTCTGAGCATCCACTCGTTCAATGTGGGGCGGGAGTCCACCCCATGGTGCCTGCATTGTGCCAAGAAGAGGAGGTCGGCACACATTTCACTTCCGGCCTGACGTTGCTCCTGTGGAAAGGTCGCCCTTCACAGCACTTGTCAGAACTTGAGTGGAAAGTGAAGGTTTGAGCCAAAATGGCTACGGCATACATACATACATACATACATACAAATAAATATGCATGCATACAATTGCATACATACGTACATGCATTCACACGTACGTACATACATACATACATACATACGTGCAGACACACACACATAAATACATACAGACATACAGAGACGCACACACTCACACACACACATATATATATATATAGGTATGCATATATAAACGTTCAACACCCGTTTTTGTGTGTGCAACAATGAAATGGAGGAAGTCAGCGGGAATGGGGGGGAGCAAACCCGTAGACTAGCAGCAAGCCAGCAGCAAAAACCAACCAACAGGAACAAAGCAGCAGGCAACGGCCAAGGAACTGGACAGAACAATTTCGGAGTGTGTCATGGGCCCGTGCTGTGGAACCTGTCTGCAACGCGTGCGGGTCCAGGTGTTTATCCAGGGATATCCGGGGAAGCGACTTGCGAGCCGCAGGAGCCGCAGCAGCAGCAGTAGCAGCAGCAGCAGCAGCAGCCGCCTCAGCAGCAGCCACAGCGGCCACCACGCAGCAAAACAGCAGCCACAGCGGCAGCCACAGCAACAGCCACAGCATCACCTTGAGTTCCATGTAGAAGCAAATGCGCGAGGCAAAATGAGATTGGGCAACGCAATTCAAGGTTTCCAGGAACAACTGCAATCGTCAACGCGTTCCAACCATCAGTCAGCGAGAAGTGACGTAAGAGCCTTTTATAGTTTGCACCTATTTAAGCCAAAACGCCGATCCAGAGACAGCACGCGCACCTGCACCAGCATCAGCACCGCAGCAGCACCCGCAAAGCCAAAACGCCGACCCACAGCCGCCCTGCAGCTACATGGGCGCTTAATTATTACATTATCTCAAACTCCCAAGTGCTAAAGTCGTTGCAACTGAATGTTTTCCGTTTCGCACTTCTTTTTTTGAGAAGTCATTGCGGAACCGGTGTTCCTTGTTTGGTAATTCTTGTGTCGCGCAATGTCTCGATACGTCTCGCAGACGGCTTACTTTTGTTCTTCTTGCTCTGGATCGGCATTTCGTTTTGCGGGCGCTGCTGCCGTGCAAGTACTGGTGCTGGATAGGCATGTTGTTTTGCCGGTGCTGGTGCTGATGCTGGTCCAGGGGTAACATCGTGTCATGCCCAGAATGACATCATGTCATGAGCGATGACATCCTGTCATGCCAAGGATGACAGCCTATGCCAGTGTAATTTAACAAAGGGTGTATCATGGTGTATCCCACCAGCCACTCACAACACGTAATTATGATATGAATCATCATATGACAACTTCATCCTCTTGGTTGGCACCATCATGACAGGCTGAGTTCCACAACATCGAACCGTTGAGGGCGCTAGGATGTGGAGACCCCGGAGACTCAGATCCAACGAGTTTCTAACGAAGTCAAACGAGTGACGCCAACTCCCGCGGCGCGGTGTGGTGATGGGGCGCCGGATGAGCACCGGCACCCCCTGAAAGACCGAGCGGGCGGCCGTGAAGCGGACGTAGTGAGTGGAGGCATCGGTTGCTTGGCCAAGCTGGCCAGCCACGTGTGAGAACCGGTGTGAGAGCACTTGTAAAAGGTGGCACCAGAGTCTTCCAAAAAGGACTCCAAGCCTTGGAAAGTCTGACAACAAGAGATGGCCATGAGGGGGGTGATCAGCAAGGGTTCACAGCATGGGCTGGCCGAACCCCTCCGCGTTCTGTGCCCTTGTGCATTCAAGATCATTCAAGAGATTCTGAGCTGGCTGCCATGTGATCGGCTCAGTTGCGCCCAGCAGAATGACCCTCGGGCAGAAACGGGACGCACCTTCCTTCCTTCCTTCCTTCCTTCCTTCCTTCTCACATTGGCAAAAGCGTCTCAGTGTAAGGCTCTCAGGCTACTGCTACCACTTGGGCCACTGCAGCCTACAACAAGCTGCTCATCCAGGCGTCATTCAGAGACATTATGGCGGGCCATGCTGGGCCGGACGTCTTTTTGCTGTGGGGATTGAAAAATGACCGCAAAAGGGAACCTGGACCTGCACCGCAAAGTACCAACGTGATGCAAGTCAGGAAGTGTTGCTCTGCTAAATGAGGAGGCACCCACGAAGACTTACTATCAAGAGTTGCTATATATAATAACTATAGACCCAATGAGTCTGATTGTCACATATGGGTAAGCATGTTTGTGCGTCACCCATCTCCGATTCGAGACCACAAACATGCTGCTCACATGGTGGTCACACCGCACAAGCAAACCAAGTCTCTCCGATCCAAGCAACGCACCAAGAGGATCAAGAATCAAGAGCTTGGACAAAAACCATTGGCCGTGTAGCCTCCATCTGGGCTACAGCACGGAACGCTTCCCATCGCCACGCGATGACACCGAGCGCTTCAACGTCACGACGAGGTCCGTGCCACACGACACCCGATGGCTGGGCGACCGATTCCATCGGGGAAGGGCGGTGGACGGTGGCGGCCGCGTTGGCGAATTCGTTGGGCACGCTGGGCGGATCAGCTAGCCACATGGACGCCGGAGGGAGATTTGACCCCATGGGTCGCTGTGGAAGGCAGAAGGGGAATGTGGACAAATGTCCGCCCATGTTGCCCTGTCGATCCAAAACAGTTCAGCCTAGCAGTTGACTAACTGGTGGGCTGCCATCGCCCCTATACTATAGGGCCTCGAAATGTGGCGACATCGGACGAACCCGTCGCCGTCATCGCCATCGGTGGATCCCCGTCGCGACGTTTCATCGCTCAGATCGTCGAGACGCTCGGTCTCGGCGCCAGTCTCGCGCCGCGTCGCCACGGAGGCCGAAGACGGGCGCGAGGCGGTCGAAACGCGTTCGGTTCCACACAGCGATATGCTCACAGCGACTTCAACGAGAAGGGGGGGGGTCGACAACGAGAAACCCAACGGGTATTGAGACAAAGTGCAAAGATCATGTTAAACTTGGGATATTTGATGGTCGTGCTGCTGATATGACGTGCGCGAAGTCAATCCGTCCTTGTCCACTGGTGCAGCGTCTGACCCTTACTGACGCGACAGGTCAATGAGGAGGTCCGTGTCGCAGCAATCGGCAGAAGTTCAACTCCAATTCGCATCGTCACTCGAGATCTCGCGTGCGTTTTTCGTTCGTCTTTGTTTTTCGATGTTGATGGCTCATTGATTTCTGAAGCTGGTTGCAGTGATCAACCATGCTCGCGGTGCTCGTCGTGTGGTTCACATCACTGTTACACTCTGCTGTGCCTTCGTGAGTTGGTGAGTTTGGCCTCACCGGATCACCATCGAATCGGGTCACGTTTGGCTGAAAAAACTCCTTTTGAGGGTCATCTACCCACTGCGGTTTTGTCGTGACTGTCTTCTTTTCAGCGAGTCAAAACGCGCGTTGGGGCCATGCAATGGTATTGTACCGAAAAGCTAAGCTTCTTCCTGAAGAAAAGACCGCCGTCCTTGTTGCCGGGCTGACGAAACGTGAGCAGTGGGGAGTTCGTCGTACTGACGAAGCCCACAGCGGCAGTGCGGGCAAGGCTGTCAAACGAAAGACAGGCTCCAGTCCACGTGTTGGCGTTGTTTATGGTCAAGCACACCCCACGGAACACTCAGCGGTGATCAAATGTGTGATGACTTTTCTCCGCCTGAAGAGCTTGCGGCATCGGCAAAGGCATCGGTGATGGCCGCCTGATATGGCGACGGAAAAGGACGTTTCGTGCAATCCCAGTGGCTGGAAAACGAGAGAGTTGGACCGAGCATCCCTTGTAGGTAAACATCTCGCCGCATCCCATTCTAAGCAGTGAAGTGAGGTGGTTTACAAGATCTTTCATAATCACCGAATGAGTAAAGACAGTAAAGAGATCTTCCTGCAATGGAATCCCTCGGGCTGTTCCTATCGCCTTTCTTGTTCCTTTAAGGTAGCAAAACATAAACTGGCACTACCCTCCCTTGCCACACATCCAACCTGCTGAGATACCACCAGCCAATACTGGGCAGCAGCACAGCTGCCAGCACTGCTGATCCGCAGGAGGCTTCCATAACCTGAGGCAAAGGCAGCAAAGGTCAAAAGGAGCAGCTTTATCGAGGGTATGTGACCACTGCCATACAACAAGGTGGGAGAATGGGTTTTTGTGTAAATCTATCTGGTCTAAGCGTCAGTCTTCAGAGAGAGAGAGAGAGAGAGAGTTCCCACAAACTCCAACAGCGCATGCAGGGAGCAAAATCAAACACACATAAATTGAAACTAAAAAAGAACTTTGTCAGATCAATAGACCTCTGACAAATTGTACGCAGAATGATGAAAATTCGAAATGTAGACTACACAGATTCCATGTGAGATTCATGCCGGACACTGTCCAGTTCAATCAACACGGGGACACCAGCTGTGCGTTGCTGCGGCTTCGCCTCCGTCGATGGAGCTCTTTTCCACGAGCTGCGAGCTCGGGCGGCGGCACCTCATGGACAGCACGAGCGTGGACAGCAGAGCTCTTTGTCCGCAAAGAAACACTTGTGGAATGCGCAACCCACCCGAAACCGGACCCGCCTTTTTCTCAGTTCACCTCCATTTTCACATGAAACCAAATCAAAAAACTACAACTACTCACACATGCCAAAGCGCTATGAAATAGATTATATATGATATTATATATATATATTAATATATATTATGTATTATATATAATTCAAGAATTCACTTTTCTCAGAGCTCATTCATTTGCTGTGTTCTTTGACGAAAAGCCTGGTTGGTTTTGCAAAACTCGATGGATCGCGATTGCAACGGCCCATCTCTTGAGTCTTGCAACAACTGATTTCTCATTTGATGGTTGACTCTTGTCATGGTTGTCCATCTTGTCATGCCTCATCTTGTATCTGTTTGGGGTTTGTTCATGACCAAGGCTCTGCTGTAGTTCTGATTTCTTCTAATTAGTAAAGGATGCAGCCCTTGCAATCAAGGACATCTTGATGTGGACCTTATCCGGGGACCCTTTTGGAACTAGGAGTTTTGTTTAAAGCAAACAATTTGTTTGGTCAAGATAAAATCAGCTCAAAAGAACGATGTCTGGGCAAGTGGACTCAATTCAAAACCTATTTCATAGGGCGTTTGCATGTGTGATAGTAGTTATAGTATCTGCTTGGCCTTTATCTGAAAATGCATGAGAACTGAGCAACAGGCAGGTCCTTGGTCCATCTCCGGTAGTGGGTGAGATCAGGAGGTTTTTCTAGTCACTAGTCGCCGGTGAAAGGTAGGTGAGGGCATCAGGACTGGTGGGCTAAAAGTGAATAAGCGAGAGGAGGAGGGAGACTGAGATGAGTAGTTATATATGTAAGATGACGATGAAGATTAAAATGAGGAAAAGGATTGATTAGGATGAGCATGAGCATGGATCAGGAAAAAATGGATCAACCTGCAAACACACTGAACCACAAAGGAGTTGATCCAGGGTGGCCTATTGAGCACAATCTCTTCTTGCAGATTTAATCTCAGTAAACGATCCAACATGACACAACCCTATCCACTGAGCACATTGAATACATTTTTGGTACAAAAAAAATAGATATTAGATAGCTGTTACGACACCTGTCAGTGTCTGAAGGTCAGTTACTAACCACTCAAGCTCCTGGCTGATCCATCTGGACCCTCCACTCCTCTCCTCCCCCGAATATTTCAGTCAGAGGTGTGTCTACTAAAATGACCTCTCCACTCAACCGACGCCCTCCCCGCCTCCCAGCACTTGCCGCCATCGCGTTTCGCGTGCGAGTGCGTCCCGCGCGCCAGCGATGTGAAGCGCTGACCGGGCAAAACACCGCCGCAGGGTGAAGGACATGGAGACGACCGACCTATATTGCAAGAGATCAGTTGTTCCACCAAACCGTTCCTCACCATCTTGGGGGGATCCAATCATCCGTCAAAAAGGACATATGTCAACTATTAGAGGACATGGGACTTCTCATGTCATTGAAAACGACTCTGGTACTTCTCACCTGGCAGCTGCAAGATAGGAACTCGCATGGATTGGATTGAACATAGTTTTGCACTCTTCGTCTAGTTCACCAAAAAATCTTTTGTGTGCAACCGCTCATTGGCACATAATGTGGCACTGGTGAGTTGGGACGTTTCCAAAATCTTAACCGTTTTAACCTTTTCCGAGTAATTGTCAGTTCGAGTCTTTCTTCGGAGTCATAAATCATGATACGTACATCATGATGTGGCTGAAGGCACCCATGTTCGAAGAATTTGGGGACGTTGCCCTCTATGAACAAGGGACATCGGGGTGGAGATCCACTCTACAGCGACCATGTTAGTGTGAAAAAGGGCCAGGTTTGGACCAAGCCATGGTAGTCTGAGGAAGAATAAGTCCAACCTCTCGTGTGACCCATCACCTTACAGTTCACAGGTTGATGTTGATGATATGTTTGTAATGCTCAGTTCTTCGACTGGAAAGTCCATTCGTTTATCGGACTATCTCGCAACTGCTGTGACCCGGATGAACCCGGCGCTGGTGAGTAGCCAGTAGCAGCAACTGCAAGCGATTCCACTCTGTGGCTGCGATTGACTGAACCACAGAACCATGAAGCGTAGACTCTTGATTCGTAACTACCCCATTGAGGGAGCTCTTTATACACGCAGGGTGTTATTAATCAATGAAGACTCTGCAGTCTACAGTAGTTTCATGGGGAGGGACCTGTTGGGCCGAGGAGGGCCGCTGCAAAAATGGAGGAAGTTGAGGAACCTGGGCTGTTGTCCGAACGGTACCTTGATAAAGATTATAAAGTTCTCTGAAGCAAAGTCCTTGCAATAGAAGAATGGAAGCTGTGAATCAGCTTGAAAATCATAGCCGAAGTGTACATGCGGGGCTGCATGAGCAATATGACAAGGTCGATGATCACATAATCAAACCATATCAAACCTTGGATAAAAGAAACATGAATCATACCTATCCAGGGAAGTTGCTTGGGGTCCTTTCCTGAATACCTGGCAGTTGGCCGGAGTGTTTTTTACAGGCTTCGACTTACACCACCTTCAGCATCCGAAGTACCTATGCTTAATCCGCCCAGAAACCTTGATATTTGCAACAAAAATAACATTATTCTAGTAGTAGTAGTAGTAGTAGTAGTAGTAGTAGTAGTAGTAGTAGGAGTAGGAGTAGGAGTAGGAGTAGGAGTAGTAGTAGTAGTAGTAGTAGTAGTGGTTGTAGTCATTCCAAGAATTGGAATCGCTGCAAAACAGAACTCAATCCAACCCCGAGAAAGGATGGGTGACACGATTCTCTTCTTCCCTTTACTATTTCACCACACCACGCAACGCCTCCCCTTTTCCTCGTTTTGGCGGTCAAGCGTCAACGAGAGCCTGGGCACAGCACGTGCACGAGATTCATTGTGTAGAAAAAACATTGGTAGGTAGGCGTCGAGCACTGGTGTTTGCTACACATTCTGGAGTAGTAGTCGTGGAAGCGCATTGTTTCTTCTTCTGCTCGGAATTCACACCATGTATCAATGATGAGATCATTTGTACTAGTCCCTTCACCTACACCTACACCAACCCTCTGTCTTACAGTGTCTTACACATGTCGCTCTGGACTCTGGACTATCTCCCTCACCATATTGGCATGAGCAAAGCGAAGAAACATCGACCAGTTCCACCATGAACGACCGTCAGTTCGCCTCCGCCGCCACCCCCACGGGCGGAACGCCTGACGCAGATGAGGAGCGAAGGAAACTGAACATCAGGGAAAAAGAAAACCGTTGAGTGGATCAGACAGCCTGGTCTTGTTGGAAGTTTTGGTTGCGCGCCAAAACCTGTGTGGAGGTGGTCCTGCGCGAACCTAGCTGCGATGTGGTCGCTCCAAACATCTGCATCTCATCTCCCCGTGTTCGCCCGAGAGGGCGAAAGCAAAACGACTGAAGTGGAAAAAGACCTTGCCTGTCGGACGGGAGTCTTCAAACCCGCAAACTACAAATCCAGTTTTTTCTGCTAAGAATAGATGTTAAAGAAGATCAACACCTTCCTCTTTCTGGTTCGACATAGAATTTCAAACATAGATATGCTGGCAATGTGTATCGCAAACATTAGCTCTATCAGCATCGCAAACACAAACTTTACAAAGTCTGTGCTCCCAATCCATCACCAGGACCGCCTCCGCTGGCGATCTCTGTGACCTCCGCCTGCTCTGGTGCGTGCGAAGCTGGGGCCTGACGGCAACAGCTTCCGATCTGCAGATCTGCGATGCAATCTGGAAGTGATGGCCTCTAACCTAAGAGCGATGGCCTCCCTAGTAGCAAAGGGTGATTGATTGTGGAATGCACGATTGAAATACTGTAAAAGTGAAGATGTCCTGTCACATGGTGACTGGCGACTTGGGACAGTTCTGCGCCACGAATAGGTAAATAATACATATGCATATTGATTGATTTATACATGGTTATACTTTCCCAGCCTCTTTGGCCTCCTTGTTGGCCGCGGGCGGCGCCTCACCAGACAGAACCACTGTCAGCTTGGAGTTTCACATTTACTAACAGCCAAATGGTTCATGGTCAGCTGAAATTGTCGTTTAACTCTGTATTCGAAATGTCTCGCAAAAAACAAAAAAAACAAAGGTTTGATAAAGATGGGAATAGCAAAAACAAAGTCGCTTCAGTTCCTCTTCCAAGTTGGCTTTGACTACCATGATCATCCAAAAAATGTCTGTCTGGACTACCCCACACAACTTCCAGGCTTCCATTGGGTGCCCATCCACGAATGAAATGAGGAAACCCATGAAATGTGAGAACAAAGACCTACTGCTTCCGGCTGAAAGGGTCCGGCCTTAGGTTTTGCAAAGACTTCCACTGGTCAATGCTGACAGCGAGGTTCCTACTTCATAGCCTTGTGATGCTAGGCCGGGCCTAGGCCATTCCAGGCAAAAAAGATGTCATGCATACGAAGCCCCAACCACACACGTTTCGAGAAACGCGTCTTGCAAGAGCGGCTTGCACGATTATTTTCCTTAGCATCAAGCAATGGCGCGGCCGGTTTTGGTGTCTGCGACATGTCCCACTGCCCGACCAGTCTCATCATGCTTGAGTGGTTGGTGGGTTTCAACTCACTTGCAAAATGATAGCATTTAGGTTCAATCAGAAGCCAAAATATCTGAAACCCTGTGGATCGTCAACCAATGAGTATGTCAGTCTCACTTTGTTTTTGGAGTAGATTTCTGAGGGATCCCGCCTTAGTCGTGGTGCATGTTCACAAATGGCATTAATGATTCATGAGGCACAAACGGTTGCCAACGCGTCTTAAACTGACCACTTTTGAATAGGTTTTAATGGTTTATGATTGCACCCTTCCCATCACACCAGTGTGTCCCACCTTGAGTGTCTTGATCCTTTGGCCGATCCGAACAGCTTTCAGCATGACTTGCACAAACTGGGTCCAACCTGTAGGACGACGCTCTCCAACACCGAAGACAAGCCCTGAGGAACTCGCTGTCCAGGAGGCAAAGGCGTGGTCAACCCTCAACTAGAGGGCTTCTGGAATGCTACCTGCATCATATTTGCCGAAGTTGTTCACTTTATATACTTTGGTTCAATCTCGTACATACTTCATCTCAGGTCATTCATCTCCTCATGTCGACCAAAAATGCCTTCGACAGGAGTCCAGAGGATCTCACGTGCACAGCCGATTGATTAAGGCGTCGATCTGTTGTCTCAACACATCAGCGGAAGGAGTCTTCAAATTGGAGTTGCTGAGAATACCAACATACTTCTACAAATCACGGTGAATAAACCTCTGCCAGTGGGAACTGACTGACTCATGTACATCCAAACCAACATGGACATCCAAACATATCGCAGGGCCCGGTGGACTGGTGCTTGTTTTCCTTGCGCTCCCATTGGACCGAAGAACGGCACATCTCAGCACCTCCAGCTGTCGCTTGGCGCTTTGTCCTTTCTCTAAGCTGCAAGGTGCTCAGACGAGACCAGGTGGTTGAGCCAAAGGAGGTCGGTCGACCAACCAACCTCGCCCCATGAGTTTTGAGTGAAAGCATTGTTTTCTTCCTCTAGACTCTAGAAGTGGACAAAGAGTCAAAAAAAGAACGCCCCAGCATGGTAACTTGATCGTGACCAACACTGTTGGCAACATTTGGTTGTTCCATGTTGCGCCAAAGAAAACATGGTGGCCTTGCACATCGGAGGAACACATCGAGTCTGTTCCAGCGCATCTTCAACATGCTCGTGCACAAACGCGCATCTCACCGTCTTCACTGCCCACCGTCCCCGTCTGGACCATCGAATTACTCCGACCGCAGCACCCGCGGGCTGTGCCTTCACTGGGTCTTTGGAGGTTCACGGGAGGAGGCTCGGGAAATCCTTGAAAGACCTACCACCCCCACGAAAAGGATCGCCAAACAACTCAACAAAAACCGACGTCCGATGAGACTGCCGTGGTCCAACTACATTGGGGTGGTTGAACAGGGGTCAATGTAGGCATTGTTGTCCATATGGATGGAGTATCTGGGTTGTGGTACGCATTTGGGTGCGTCCAGTGCCTGAACTTCATGCAAGGCTGCAAGCACTTACCTGGTGCTCAAAATGACAAACACGCAGTGATTGTATATATATATATAGATGGTTTATCCGAGACCAGGGCAACATTCGACCCGTAAGTCCACATCTGCCACTAAATATCTTGTGCCAGATATTGCCAGATAAATATTTGGCTGATCAGGTGGAAAACCAACTTGCCTGGAAGACCCAAGGGTCAAAAGAAGGAAAACATAGGCGACTCAAGTACCCGCTATCTTCTTTGCTGGGCAATGGGTGATGGGTCATCTTCACAAACTAAAGACTCTTCATCTTCACAAAACCTTGGGTCATCACTATATAGCGCTTGGGCCATTGAGTGTTGACCCACACCCCACACCCT